GTGTGTGTGTGAAGGCTTCTTTGTCTGTCCCCCGCCAGAAAAGACGGTTTCCTCTTGGGCGCCCCCACTTGTCTTCCTCTGCGCTTAACCCGGGTTGTCTAAACATGCCTGTCTCCCCGCTGGGCTGGGTTTCATTCATCTCTGTATATCCGACACATGGCACATAGTAGGTGGTCAATAAAGGTCACCCCCTGGAGTGAGCATTGGCAAGTCACATCACCTCTCCTGACCTCAACTTCCTCATCAGTAAAATGGAGCTGGAAGTGACTGCTCAGAGGGCTGGCATTCAAGAAACACACTGAGCAAATATCTAGCACTTACTGCATGCCGGATCGTGCGTGCTGGATGTTGTGAGGTGCAAAGGGCATGAGGCACCAACGGTCAAGCACCCATCAGATGTGAGAGGGGCTGGGGGGTGGTGTGGGCAGTGCCCCTGGAGGTTCTCTTCCCTGACATTCACGCTGGGAAGACCCACTGCCGCCCCCTCTCCCCCTTGCCAGTTGCAGACTGTTGGGGCATCAAGTGGCCTTTTTAGCTGCGCTCAGACTGGATTCTTCAAGCCCCGTCCGGGAAGATTCTAGGGCATCCACAGCCTCTTTCGGCTGAGAGTCAGGGGCCTCCCCCCCACCCCCCGGCAGGAACCTGGGGCTCCTGAGCTCTGTCTCTGTCTCCCTCTGCCATCTCCAGCCTCCTTCCTGGGCCGTGGGAGAGGCTCTCTCTGGCTCTCTGGCTCACTCACTCTAGCATGGAATCCTGTTTCTGCCGCTCATTAGCTGTGTGACCCTGGGCAATTTCCTTAATTTCTCTGGGTTCTGCTTCTCCCGTCTGTAACACGAGCTTCGTGATACGGCTCACCTAGGACTGTTGTCGGGTTAAGTGGACTAATGGAGCAAAGGGCCACCTGTCCGCGGGGAGGGGCTCCCTGCTCCCTAGCAGGTGAGACGTCGCGCCCCCACCCTTCCTGTCTGGGTGGGTTCCTGTGGCCACAGCCACCCTGGTGGGATGCCAGCGTCCTCCTGGGTCCCTCTAGCTCTGACCTTTGCTTCCGCCAGCTTAGTCCAGTTGGGGGATGGACTGGCTGGCCTGCCAGGGCTGGTCTCATCCATGTGAGCTCTGAGGGGGAGTTCATTTCCTTTCGTGACAAGCCCACACGGAAAAACTCACTCGCATGGGTCTCTGTGTGTCTTGCTGACTTTCCTGGGGGCTTGGTGGGGGGGAAGTTGGCACGGCAGCCATGCAAAGACTCCCACGGAGTCCCCCACCCTCTCTGGCGGTCTCTCCCCAGGGAGCCCCTCCCCGTGACCCCGACTCCTCCATCTCGCAGTCTTTCTCTCCTCTCCCTTCATTCTCCACTCTTTTCTCTCTGAAACTTCTGCTTCTTCTCCCACGACCCTCCAGCCTGGGCTCTGGGCCACCCTGGCCTCTCTGAACCCATCGAGGGCCTGCCCCATCGCAGGGAGGGAGCCCACACTCCCTCTGCGTCTGACTCCAAATTCCCCGCCTGCTTCACCCATCACCATTTCTGGACTTTTCCATTTCAGAATGTTCTCCAGCCCTGGCACAGGCCTGGTACCCAGTAGATGCTTAATAAAAGCTTTGGGGATGTTGAAGCTCATGCTCTGTCATTGGCTTCTCCTGCTCCTAGCTCTTACCACGGTGGCCGCGCTCAGGGCTCGGTTCTGAGGTGTTCAGTGTGCTTCTTGGGGCTGAGGGTGGCCCTCCATGCCCCAGGGGAATGTGCTCCTATGGGATACAGGCCTGTGCGAGGGTGTCTCAGGCCAGGCCCCTCCCCACTCTAGTAGGGGGGTCACTCTGCCAGTTTGCAATCCTGGAAAACTTGACTCAGTGTTTTTGAATCTTAGAGTCCAGAATCTTAGTTAAGAGCACAAACTCTGGAACCAGGTCCCCAGAATTCAAACACCAGCTCTGCCATTAATTAGCTGTGTGACTTTGAGTATGTTACTTAACTTCTCTGTGCCAATGGCTTCTCATCTGTAAAACGGTAGCAATGATTTACAAGATTGTGCAAAGGATTAAATGCATTAATATTTATCAAGGGCTGAGACCAGGGCCTGGCGCAGATAAGTGCTCTGTAAGTGCTGGAGAAATAAATCAGCGTGGATTTTGAGGATGCTGGAAGCTTTGTCTCCGCTCTTAGGACCTTCGGGTCTGTAAGGGACCTCCTCTCATGTCTGGGGCAGGAATCCGACCCCAGCTTCCTTCAGCCCCAGCTTGCTTATCCCCATTGATAGATGCTCCCTACCCTTCCAGGTACTACAATTGCTAGCAAGTTCTCCTGGGGGATGGCGGGGTGAGCCTGGGCTGCTCTGCCCAGCAGCTGCTGGAGTAGAGAGTGGGTGCCTGGCTGGGCCTTGTCCCTGGGGGAGGGCACAGGGATCCTGGCCTAGCTGCCAGGTGGATGGACTAGGGGACTCCAGGCCGGGGTCCAGCTCACCTACCTCCTGGCAGAGGCCTGCTCCCGGGGCATGGCGGGGCCTAATGAGTGTGTGCGGCTGCTCCAGCCTTCTGCAAATACCAGGCACAATATAAATAGCAATAATGAATAAATGAAGCTCCCGCAGCCAGCAAGGGCCTCTGGGAGGGACGCTGCAGCCTGGCTTCTTGCCGAGACCTGGAGTTGCAATCCCATCCCCCAGCAGGTTGAGGGTCGTCCCTCATCCCCACTTCTTCGGTGACCTTTAGTCTATCTGCACCCTCCACGTCCGCAGAGCCCACCCCTAGGCTGACGGGTGGGGTGGGGTGGGCAGAAGAGTGAAGGATTAGACAAATAAGGCTTCAGTTGAAGCAGAAAGCATTTGGGTTGGACATAAAGCAGGACTTCCTGCCACTCTGGATGCTTGAAGGAGGCTGGAGAGGGCGTGTTAGTCCTGCCAGGACAGGGGAGGAACTAGGATTGTGGAGGGGGCAAATTTCTCCTTAAACATAAAAAAGAACTTTGAATGAGCAGAGATGCCTGGAGAGCAAAGGGGCTGCCCCAAGAGGTGATGAGATCTCCATCACGCCAGGTATGCAAGCAGGGTCTGGGCAGTTACTTCTGGAAGCTGGAACTGAAAGGACCTAGTCCTGAGAACTCACCATCTGGTGGCTTCTCAAGGTCTTGCCCAGCCTTTTGAACTTATGAAAACGTTGCCAGAGGAGAATGAAAAGGAAGAGAGCCATGGCTGGCATCTTCTCCCTGCCCTGCTGCCTAATTTCTCTCACTCTCTCAGGCCTGGGGCTGTCCAGCTGGGCACTCAGCCGGCCAGGGCGTGGAGCGCCTGCCCGCGCCAGCTTATTCTACTTCCATGCCTTTGCATATGTCCTTTCCGCCTCCTCGATGCCATTTCTCCACCCACCCCCTCTCCTCTTATCTCAATCCTGTGGGAGCCTTGGAGGCCCAGAGCAGGCCTCTGGCCTTTGAGGAAGTCTTCCCCGAGACTCCTGATCTGAGGCCCCTCTGCTCTGAATAAACCCATCCCACCCGTGGACGCCTTCTGGCCTGCTTAAGCCACACCTGTGAGTCACCTCCCGGCCTCCTGTGCTTCCCCGACCTTGCACTGCGGTCTGGTGAGGGAGGTTTGCTGTGTCTCCCTGCACAGACTCAAAGGGGGAAGGGATGAATGTTGGTTGAACACCTACTATGTGCCAGGGATGGTGCTAGGCTCTTTTTAGACTGTTCTCTGCAAAGCAAAGCCTGAACTTTTATCCCATTTCCCAGATGAGGAACCCGAGGCTCAGAAGCTTTCAGGGGCTTGCCAAGGCCCTTGGAACACGCAGAGCTGGGGTCCAACCCAAGGGCACTTCCTCCAAGGTGGTTATCCCCAGACCAAGTGGCCCCAGGGCAGGCCTCCTCATTCCTCCGCCCCCACAGCCAGCCCAGCCCCGTGCCCTGTCCCCCCAGCCCACATTCCTCAAGGAGGTGAGGTGGGAGTGGGGAGGGCTGAGCTAGAGTCCCTGATTTCTCAGACTCCTGTGGCCCCGGCTGCCCAGGGCAAGGGGAGAGGCTGGGCATTTACAGCTGGAGAAAGGGGCATCTGTTCCACTTGGGAACGCTCCCAGAAGCCTTCCTGGAGGAGGTGGCCTTTCAACCAAACCTTGAAGGTTGGGAAGAAGGCCTGGTGTAAGTGAGAAGCAGGGAGGGAGGCTGCCTGGGGTGTAGTGTGGCCTTTGGAGTGGAGTTGTAGCCCAGCTCCACCATTTAACAGCTGGTGGCCTTAGACGGGCAGCCCCCGGCTGGGGCAGTGGGGGAAACATCCCCCTCCCCATCTTGAATCTCACAGCGTCTTGGTGAGAATCCAGAGCGTAATGTGGCCAACCAGGCACCTGGGACTTGGGGTGGTCAGTAATGGGGTCCCTCCCTTTTTAACGCATGACGCAGCCCCCGTTTTGAGGAGGTAGGACCCTCCCCCAGGCACGACCCTGAATCTTAAGGAGGTGGCCGCCAGGCTGGGGGCTTCCTGCCCTCTGGGGAGGGTTGGGGGCTCACCAGCCGCCGCCGTCAGTCTGTCTGTCGCCTCCACGCCTCCCCCCTCCAGCGTCCCGCGCCTGCAGCTTTCCCCGAAGACATTTGGTGTCAGTATAAGGACAGCTTTGCCTCGCACGCGGCGCGGCTCGGTCTCGCCGCCGCCGCACGTCCCCGCACCGCCCGGTGCTCCGGCTCCTCCGCAGCCCCCGCCGCGCGCAGACCCCGCGCCTCGAGCCCGGGGCCGAAGGCGCGAGCCAAGCCGAGCCGGCGAGGGGGGGCCGACCCGCGCCCCCGCCCGGGCGCCCCGCCGCGCGGGCCCCCGGGCACTTGCCCGCCGCGCGGTCCCCGCAGCGCCCCCGGCCCGCCGGCCCGGCCCGGAGCGCCGCCCGCCCGCCCGCCGCGCGCTCCAACTCCGGCTCGGTCCGCGGCGCGTCCGCGCTGCCGGCTCCTCGCCGCCCGCCGGAGCCTCGGCGCCCCTCCGCAGCCAGCGGCTCCGCCCGCTATGGCCCGGGCCCCGGGGCCCGCCGCCCCCCGCCCGCCGCCCCTCGCGCCCCAGGGGCTCAGCTGATCCTGAATTGGCGGGGGGCGGCTGGCGGGGCTGGAGGTCCCCTGCGATCTCCGGCTTCGGGGGGACGCGTCGCCCCCGCGTCTCTAACCTGGACCACCCCCCGCTGCCCGGCCAAGTCCATGCCAAGGTAGGTGGGGGTGGGGATGGGGGTGGGGGTGGGAGGGAAGGGGGAAGGAGGGGAGGGCACAGCTCCGAGGCCAATTTCTCGGCGCGTCGGGTTCTTTCTTTATCCGGGCGTTTATTTATTTATTTCTGGGGACCTGTCCCCCAACCCGCGCGTGCCCCTCAGGTCGGCCCCCCATCCCGTGCCTTCGGGGCGGGTGCCTTGGGAGGAAGGACGGGAAACTTTGACCGGTCCCTTCTCCAAGGCCACGAAAGTTCTCTCGGTGCCAATGCTGAAGCCGGCTGAGCCAGCGCTGCAGAAATTTATTCAACAAGTCAGGCTGCCGGCCGGGGGCCCAGGCCGTCTGTCTGTCTGCCCCTCCGCTGCTGCGGCGCTGCGGCCAGCTGGACCGGAGCTGGTGCCAGTGGCCGGGGGCTGCGCTGGGCGTGTTGGCGGAGGGAGAAGGGCGGCAGGGGGATTGAACGGGGAATCCCAGGCAGCCGGTAACTTTCCTCGAGGCGAGGCCGGGCCGGTGGCGGCCCCCTCCCTGGTCGGCACCTCCCTGCGTGCAGCCAGGCCGGGTGGGAGCTGGGACTCCGGGGGGTAAAGGGAATCCTCAGCAGGTTGGGGCGGTTATATAATGAGTGTTTTTGATGGTTGGGTTTTAATTGTCTGCTGGTGGTGTGTGTGGGATGTTGGGGGGGCTAGAGGCTTTTTGTCAGGGGGTGGGAAGGCCCCTTGGGGGCAGGTCATGATGCCTGGCGGAGGGGGCTCTTGGACGGGCCCAGGCTGAGACATCCGTTGGCTGTTCTGCTTGTGTCCTTCTCCCCTTTCAGGGTCCTGGGGGTTCCTGAGCCGTCGGTGAGATAGGCATCTGGGGAGATCCCTGGGCTGTATTGTGGTCCTGAGAGTCTGTGTTCTGGGGCCAAAGGTGTGTGTGTGTGTGTGTGTGAGAGAGAGAGAGAGAGAGAGAGACAGAGAGAGACAGAGGGAAAGAGAGAGACAGAAGGCTTGCTTGCGTCTGTGCCTGTGTGGTGTGATGGGGTCTGACACGCCATGTGAGGAGTGTCCTGTGGGCTGGAGTGCTCAGGTCGGCCTGTGCAGGGAGCCAGTCTGTCCTTCTGTCTTTCACCACCTGGGGGATTCACCCAGCAGATCCTGGCACCGCCTGGGCTAGGATGCTGAGCAGAGAGGGGTGTGGGTCCATGGTCTGGTCTGGGCCCTGGGGAAAGGGTTTGGCTGAGGAGCCCCGGCCTGCTTCCTCCGGCCTCCATCCTTAGGGCCTGCCCATCACCCCTGGGTCAGGGTCTCCCCTCAGCTCCAAGGACTGGCCTCCGAAACTCTGGTCTACCCTTCAGGACAAACTTTCTGTTCAGGCTCTAGGACCTGGGGCAGGGGTGGGACTGGGCGGGGAGTCTAGAGACCTCCCTGTCCCCTTCTCGCCTCCACCATCCATGCGGAGCAAGAGGGAGGGGGTGCCACTGGGCCACAGGGCAGAGCGGCCGTGAGTGGGGTCCGGTTCTGGGACTGCAGTCGAGGAGGAAGAGGAAGAGAGAGGAGCACATCCTGGGGCTGCTGGGCTGGTCTGGCACCAAACTCACGAACCCCCACTCACACGCACCTGGAGGCCCGGACCACACGGCGTCCTCACGCGCCCTTCCTGGCTGCTCAGAGCTGCCCAGGCCTGTCTCTGGGACTGAAGGTCCCTCCCAGTTCCTTTGACCAAGGTTCTCTGTGCCTGTCCCCCCACCCCCAGCCCCCCATTCCAGGCACTCTGAGAGGGCATCTTCTAGGCCCACCGGGGGCACCAAGCAGCAGTTCCCATGTCCCTGTCCCTGACTCCCCTTGACCTTGGATGGGGAGGTGGGGTGGAGCTTGCTGCCAGAACCCCTCCTCTCCCACTGCTATCTCTGGCTGGGACAGCTTGCTCCCTCTGAGCCCACAGCCAGGCTGGGAGCCATTTTGGGGACTTCCCTGAAGGTGGCCTCCCTGTGGTCCTGGATCCACATTCACACACTGATCCCGCGGGGGTCACCACCTCCGACTCCCCGCCCCCAATCCCCCTCCACTGCCGTCTCTACCACCCTCACCCTGCAGCCCAGTGGGGATCCCCTGGGCCTCAGCCCTCCCAGGAAAGGGTGTTTCTGGGTGCCACTCTGTCCCTCCCCCACCCTCGAGGGGCTCGCGTTTTCCAAGGTAACGAAGAGATTCTCAGAGCAGCTCCAGTGCCTCCTTGAGTCTGTCCATCTCCTCTCAGCTGCCTTGTTCTCTGGGCGTCCAGCCACCCGCTCAGGGGGCTCAGAAACTATGCCTGGAAAGAGGGGATGCGGGCTGGGCCCAGGGGTCCGGGAGACCCCACTGGGCTGCAGGGCCCTCCTTCCCCCGCCTCCCTTCTCCTCTTCCTTTCTTGTCCTCCCTTCCCCATCCTGTCTGACCCCTTCCCTCCCTCCTGTTCTTTTCTGCGGGACCTTTTCTTCCCACCTGGTCCCGGGAAGTGCTCCTGCCTTGTGTCTTCAACCCTTGGGTCCCCAGTAGTCCTGGGACTGGGCTGGGGTCTCAAAGACAGCCCAGGGAGCTGTGGGTGCGTGTGAATGTTTGAGAGTGTGGGTAGGTGGGTCTGTGGGTCCAGAGATCTCTGGGTGTACGTGTCTGTGAGCCTGTGTGTGGGGGGGTTCATGGATCCGGGGGAGTGTAGCTCTGTGGGCCTGTGGATCCCGATATCCAGGAAGATGTGGACTGTCTTTTTCCCCTCCTGGCTGCTAGTCTAAGGAGGGAAGAAAACAAATCTGATTTCTTCTCTCTCTTGTGTTTATGAAGCACCTACTGTGTGCCAAGCCCTCTTCTGGCCACTGGGGGACACAGCAGTGAACAGAGGGGAACAGACAGAATCTGCCCCATCGGAGCTTCCGTGCCCCGGGAGGGGCCGGGGCCTCCCCTGTGCCAGGTGCGGTGCGGGCACACGGCCCCTGGGCTCGGTTTCCTCTCGTAGTCTCGAGGGGAGAACGAGTGCTGTGTTTGCTCTGTGGGGGGCTTCGAAAGCACAGGGCCCGATGAACAGTGAGGGCCACCTTCTGCTTCCACTCCCCGGCGGTCCAGGGCCTTGGGCCTCCTCCCTGGACCACTCAGCTCTTGGTCCGGGCTGGAGGAGACGGAGGCAAGTCCATGATCGCGCACACGGCCTGGAGGGACAGGACACTTAGTGTCCCGGGAACGTCAGCTTCTTGTAAACTTAGGGTGGCACCTTCCGCCTTGAAGGATTTCTGCGAGGCTTTCTAAGCCGGCGTGGGGCCAGACCGCGAGGCGGGCTTTCTCTCGCTGAGTCCTTGCCGAAGCCCTTGTCCGGTTTGCTTCCCTTTTGTGTGATAGAGGAGGAATTGTGCTCTGCATTTTATACAAGAGGAAACGAAGCTTGATGAGACTGTGTGGTGCAGGGACTCGAACCTGGGCCCGGGGACTCCCAATCCAGTGCTCTCTCTGCTAGAACACCCCCCTTGCGCTGGGGACCAGGGTCACCTGATTTGTTAGCTGAAGTAAGTCCCAAGGCCCTAATCACTGCAGAGGGAGTGAAACATGATCAGCAGAGTCGCCTGCTGGGAGGTGTTCAAATACTGATGGAGACTAGAACGCGGCCTTGCTTTCTGGCACTAGCCGTAAGGCCAGAAGCTGACGAATGACGATGTCTAGTGACAGACACATGGACAGGTATGGGGGGATGGTTCCAACCTCTTGTCCACAACCTGGCCTGGAGAGGTTTAACTGGTGACCTGGATTGGGCCTCCCAGACCCAAACCCTTGCTCTTTCACTGAGAAGCTCTTCACCTTGGGAAAATCGCATAACCTCTCTGTTTCCTCGCCTCTCAAGTGGAGAGAGCAGACGCTCACTTCACTGGGTTGTGCCGAGGTCTCGGGCGCATGGTAAGTGCTTAGCAAATAGTGTTGGCTCTGACCTTGTTAGCCATCATGGGAAGGGTGTCTGATCCAGTTCATCCAAAACTGCAAAGCTGAGAGGGCTAGCTGGTGATTTTGGTGATGGGACCAAGATGACAGCAATCTGTAGGCAGGCTCAGCTGGCAGGACCGGAGCAAGTTTTGTGTCAAATCATGCACTTGGGGGCCAAACTTCAGCCAGTCATCTTTAGGCTAGAGGAGACTTGGCTTGGCTGCAGCTTCTCTGAAGAAGATCTGAAGGGACCAGTGGACCACATGTCCCATAGATATGGCAGTCTGACTGGGTTGCCAGCCAGGCTCTGGGGCCCCTAGGCTGCATCAAGAGGGGCCCCCCTGCAGAATCAGGCAGGTGACCTGTCTGTTCTACTCTGGGTGACTTGGTGCAAGTCTGGTCTTGTCCTTGTGGGGTAAATAGGCAAATTTGAGTGTGACTGGGGAGGGGTCCCAGGGAACAGATGATCTGGAAATTGTTGCCCGAGGAATGGCTGAGGAATGAGCTGGTGACAGAGGCCTGGGGCAGATAAGGCTTGGGGGTGGGCAGGCTGTTGTCATGCACCTGCAGGGCTGTCATGCGGAAGAGGGAGCAGACAGAGGGTTCCAGGGGCATTGGGCGCCGGCTGGAAGGTTCTGGGAGTAGGTTTCCCGCAGCCTCTCAAAGGCTTTTCTACAAGTGACCAGGTACAGGCTCCACATGGGGGGGGGGGGGGAGGAATGTGTGAGAGTGTGTGATTGTGTGCCTGTGAGCGTGAGAATGAGTGTGTGAAGTGTGTCAGGTGTGTGAGCATCTGTGTGAGTACTATGTTTGTGTCTGTGTGAGTAGGCATTGTGTGATTGTGTGTCTCTGTGTGTGATTGTGTATGTGTGAGAGTGTGTGTGTGACTGTGGGTCATCTTTGTGCTGGTGAGTGCGTGTGGTGACGGACGAGGCCACTTTGGGGGTCCCATTCCTTTCAGAGGTCCCCTGTGTGAAGATCTGGAGCCCATAAGAGTCTAAAAGCAGACCCTGCATTTCCGGGACCCCCAAGCTCCCAGATTCTGGAATTTGGTGGCTCATGGTGCTAACAAGTGAGGGAGGCCGTCGCGGGGCTTCCTGTGCGCTAACCCAGCGTCTGGCGGCTTGGTCAGGCGCTCGGGTGTGTCCCCAGTCCATCCTCCCAGCAGCCCGGCCACAGAACAGTCATCACCCTTGTGTTCTAGACGGTGGCCGGGGGCCTGCCAGGCTGAGCCGTGTGCCGAGGTGGTTGGTGTCAGAGCCGGGACTCCGACAGTGCTCTCGGCTTCCCGCGTCCATGCTCCGAAACACTGCACGACAGAGCCTGAGGTGGTTGTCGTTAGTATCTGGGGCTTCTAAGGTTCTGGGTGAGTCTAAGCTGTTCTGATTCTGAGGTTCCTGGATTTTAGTATTCTCGGAATGAATTTGTTGTTTGTTCTTCTAGTTGTAACAAGAGCTGGTGTGTGGTTGTTGACAAAGGGATAAACAGGTTTTCTGCCTGTGAAAACACACACACACACACACACACACACATGTGCACACATGCGCGCACACACACACGCAGAGGGCCTGGGCGACCAGAACGGGCCTCAGGTCTGTCTTCACCGGGACTCTGAGCTCTGCATACACAGGGCCTCCCCACACCATGCTCCACGGGCTCTGGAGTGCCAGCTGGAAGATTCTGGAATGCAGGTTTCCCCGTGGACTTGGGAGGACTTGGGGAGGTCTTTGCCCACACTGAGGGTCTTGCCTGGACCAACAGCCATCTCGGTGACTTGACTGGGACGGCAGGCCTGGTTCCCTGCCCCAGGGTGGTGCCTGTAATGGTTATGCTTGGGCTCAGGAGGAGCAGACCTGGACTGGGACCCCAACTCTGCCCTATACCAGCTGGGTGACCTTGGGCACTGCTGGACTTTCCTGGGCCCCAGTTTCTTTCCCCATAAAGTAGGAATAAGCATGATCTGTACATCATGGGAATCGACATAGGCAATGTACAGAAAGCTGTTTGCCTATTGCCTGGCACAGAGCCAGAGTCAGTCAGAGCCTCTGTGATGCTGTGGGGATAGTGGTGATGGTGGTGATGGAGGTGATGGTGGTGATGGAGGTGAAGGTGGTGATGGAGGTGATGGTGATGGTGGTTATGGTGATGTGGTGATGGTGGTGGTGATGTTGAAGGTGGTGATGGAGGTGATGGTGATGATGGTGATGGTGGTGATGATGGTGGTGGTGGTGGTGATGGTGGTGATGATGGTGGTGGTGATGGTGGTGGTGATGGTTATGGTGGTGGTGGTGGTGGTGATGGTGGTAATGGTGATGGTGACAGTGTGATGATGGTGGTGGTGATGCTGGTGGTGATGGTTATGGTGGTGGTGGTGGTGATGGTGGTAATGGTGATGGTGACAGTGTGATGATGGTGATGGTGGTGGTGATGGTGGCAGTGGTGTGATGCTGGTGGTGTAGTGATGATAGTGATGGTGGTGATGGTGGTGTGATGCTGACAGTGGTGATGATAGTGATGGTGAACGGTGGTGATGACAGAGAGAGGGCTGGGGTGGCAGCCCCTGGGGAAGGCACAGCTGGCCCCATGAATGCTTGGACATCCACCTTCCTGGGTCCTAGAGAGCTTTCCCATCCACCTCACGTTGCCTCTTCACAAGGGCCTGCTGAGGCAGGAGGAGGGCTGAGCTTTACAGAGAGGGAAACTGAGGCTCCAGGAGGCTGGTGGAGTCAGGAGTGGGGGAGTGTGTTCCAGACAGTGAGGTCCTGCTTCCACTCATGCCCCTGCTCATGGAGGCCAGTCCAGCTACCACACCACTGCCTGGTGGGCCCATGCTCAGAGTGCCTGAGAGAGGAGGCAGCTCAGACTCTGGGGTCAGGTGGACCTGAGTTTGGATCCACCAAGGCTGCCACCTAAAGCAAGTCCTCTCGTCTCTACGAGGCTCCATCTGCAGACAGGCTGGAGCCCAGGGGGGCCCAGCTGCCACTCCCAGGAGCTTCCAGCCATTGGCACATAGGGAACTGAGGACAGGAGCTGGGCTACAGACACAGGACAGAGGGAAGTGAGAAGGGGGAGCAGGTCAGAGGGTGGAGGCTGTGTGGGCTCTGGGGAGGGGGTTGGGGGCAGTTGCCTTGGCCATCGTGGTCTCTAGGAGCCCCACAGTGAGCGGGGAGAGGTGTGAGGACAAAAGACAACCACAGAGTGTGACAGCTTTAAACAGGGCTGAGTGAGGCACAAAGTGAATGGGTACCAAGTGGACAGAGCCAAGAGTGAGGAGCTGAGTGGTCCTGTGCGTTCCAGCCATGGCCACTCTTTCCATCTGCGTGGCTGTAGGGGGTTGGGGCTGGGTGGGGCGGGTGGCATGGAGCAGACGCAAGGCCAGGCTTTCCTGCCTCTAAAATATATCTCAACCCCCCACTTCTTTCCTCTTCCACCGGCATCCTGGGCCAGGCCAACCCATCCTTCCGGCCTCCTTCTGGCCTCCCTGCTCCGCCCCTGCCTCTCCACCTGCTCTCCCTTCAGCCTCAGAGGGATGGCTTACAAACACAGACCGGAGCACACCATCCCTGCATTAAACCCTCTCGTGGCTTCCTCTTGCACTTGGAGTAAAATGCAGGCTCCTCCCGCAGGCTCACAACGGACCCTGCCAAAGCCTCTCCCTTCCTCCCGCTCCCCGCCCCAGGCTCAGTCACACTGCTCACTTCTGTTCCTTAAACGCACCCAGCTCCTTCCAGCCTCCCAGTCTCTGCACATGCTGTTCCTTCTACGTGGCATGCCCTTCCCACAGATCCTCCATGGCGGATGCCTCCTGATTCTGATTGTTTTTATCTTAAATGTCTCTTTCATTAGAGGAGGAAGGGTGGCTTCTCCCCATTCCCACCTTTCTCCCTTGTTTATTTACTTCCCAGCTCTTTTTATTCCACAGACATTTATTGGGCACTTAGTCCCTTCCAGGCGCTGTTCCAGGCGCTGGGGGATAGAACAGGGAACGACACAGACTACAGTCCCTGCTCTCTTCCAGCCTTCAGGTCAGGAAGACAGATGCTAAATCATAAAAGACAGAAATACATAAATTATACAGTATGTTTGGTGACGATAAGGGCTGTGGAAACGCAGAGAGAGAAATTAATGGACTCGTGTATCTCCCCCTTGTTGGAGTGTTGGTTGAATAGGGCTGGCGCCCAGCCTGGCTGGTCCACCAACAGAGCCCCAGAGCTGGCCCAGTGCCTGTGCATAGTAGGTACTCGGGAAATATGCGTTGGATGAATTAATGAACTGTCAGGGCCTGGACGCACAGGGCCTGGGCGATGGGTGAGAGAGTGTTCCAGGAGAGGGGATGGAGTGAGGAGAAGCCTGGAGCAGGCCGCTGGTGCTCTCGGCTCCGAGGGGGTCCTGTTTGGCGGGAGCGAGGGGCCAGTGGAGAGAGTGGTGGGCTCTGAGGCTGGCACTGCGGTGGACAGACCTGGAGCCCCCTCGGCGAGGGCGTGTTTCAGCCCAGCGGTTGCCACGTGGCGCGCCGAGGTGCCTGGGAGCTTATGTAAGGCCCACGGCTGTTTTTCCGGAACCAAGAGCAAAGGCCCGAGCTCAGGAGAAACTGCCTCCCTGACCAGCCGGGCGGAGTGGCGGGAGGTGCCAACTCCCGCCTGTTGCCCCCGGAAGCCAGAGAAATGTCCAAACGCATCAGCTCTGGGCGGCTCAGCTGACAGCTCAGCAGCTGCGTGGCAGCAGGGCAAGTGCCAGGGACTCAGGCCTCGTCCCCAGCTCCCACTGCCCAGCCTGGCCCCGCAGGGTTCCAGGGCCCAGGAGACCCCAGGGGATGAGGATTCAGGGCTGGGTGGCCTCTTGGATGCGCTGGGAAGGCGGCCAGCCTTGAGGAGGGGCTGTTATCCTGCCCTATCATTGGCCGGCCGTAGGGGGGCCTAGCGAGGCCACAGGCAGTCTGCACTGAGTCTGGACGGCCGGGCTGGGATCCCGGCTTCTCAGCACGCCCTAGTTCTACACTTGGCACGCTGCTCCCTTCTCTGGGCCTCAGTTTCTCCATCTGCTAAATGTGTATAATACCCCTCCTGGGGTTGTCGTGAGCACCAGACAAGACCAGGATGTGGAAGTCAGGACCAGCTATAGGACTTGCGGGGCCCAGAGCAAAATGAAAACGTGGGGCCCCGGATCAAAAATTATTAAGAATTTCAAGTTGGTGACAGCAGAGCATTAAACCAAGTGTAGGGCCCTTCTGAGCCTGGGGCTCTCGGTGGGTGCACAGGTCACATGCCCAGGAAGCCGGTCCTGATGGAGTTCTGTCTCTGCAGTTACCTGGCTGTTTGTCTGTCCTGTTGCTTCTGGGCCTCCGTTTCTCCATCAGGGCCCAGGTCCTTGGGTTCTCAGATTTATGAAGCAGTGGGTTGGGGGTCCCTGGGCTCAACTACGGGTCTTAGCTCAGGCATCACTTCCTCAGGGAAGCCTGCCCTGATTTCCTCCTGGCTTGCCCAGGTCCCCTGGTATCTGGTCCCATAGTACCCCAACCCCCCCAACCTCTCCTGTGTAACACGCGCATCATCCTGGCAATAATGTGTCTTTACAGTAACTTTCCCTTTTTTCTTGCATGTTTTCTTTACCTTTGATGAAGCAATAAATACACAACTCTAGTCTCATAAAAAAACTAATAACAACTACTTTCTAAGGAGGTTTTATTCTCCCCGCTTTTCATCGCCTCAAACTCCACAAGGTTGACCAGACGTGCCCCAGGACCACCCACTTAGAAGTGGATTCTGAACGGGTGCAGCTGGGCCCTCAGCTCTTTCCTAATCCTCGTGGCCAGAGTCAGAGTGAGGGGCCTGCCGGGCCTGAGGCTGGGCTGTCCCCTTGTGGGGGGAAGTGGGTTGGGGAGCAGGTGCCCGGCCTGCTGCCATGCGCCCCCTTTCTTTCTCCCCCAGGGCTCCCCGCTCAGTGCCGGCGACATGGCTGAGAGCTCCTCGCCGCCCTCCTCCTCTGCCGCAGCGGCAGCCCCGGCTGAGGCTGAGCCGGGAGTCACGGAGCAGCCAGGGCCCCAGAGCCCGCCTCCCTCCCCTCCAGGCCTGGAGGAGCCTCTGGATGGAGCTGACCCGGATGTCCCTCACCCGGATCTGGCACCCGTGGCCTTCTTCTGCCTGCGACAGACCACCAGCCCCCGGAACTGGTGCATCAAGATGGTGTGTAACCCATATCCTTTGTGCCGCCTGGGCTGTCGGGCACGTGCCCGGGGCCACACTGTGCCCGAGGGAGCCTGCCTGCCCCCCTGCCTCTGAGGCCTGGGCTGAGTGGTGGTGAGTGAGCTCCGGGGGTGGGTTTGGGGAGATGTCGGGGCATGGAGGTCGAGGTGTCCTGCTGATGCAGATGTTCTGGAAGTCGCTGATGCCTGTGGGGGTCAGTCCAGTGGCCAGCTGGCTCAGAAGGCCCTCAGGTGTGAGCCCCAGGTCTGAGCGAGGACTGGGGATGCGGAGTTAAGCCCGTGGCCCAGCTCCTGGTGACTGAGCCATTTGATGGACGGTGACCACAGGGGCCATGAGAGCCTGACGGGAGCCTGAGGGTGTGGACCCGAAGGTGGCTGGTCCCCACATGCGAGGCGAGGCTGCCTGCTCCTCCTTCTCTCTGTCATGCCCCCGTCTGGGGCCAAAGGCAGCAGCAAGCAGCTTCCACCTGCCATTTCTAGTCTGCTCACGTCACCCCTGCTTAAGATGCTTTGTTTCCCATTGCCCGGGAAGAGCGGAGCGAAGTCCTAACCCAGCCCCCCAGGCCCTGCCTCGCTTCCCAGTACTCTGCTGCCTCTGCCTTTCCAAGCCTCAGGGCCTTCTCACATGCTCTTCCCTTTGAAATGCTTTTCCCTTCCCTCTTCACGTTGTAGCCTTCAAATCACTGCTTAAGCGTCACCTCCTCAGGGCAGCCTCCGAGAATCCCCCTCAGCCTCTCCGTTAGTTGTCACTATCTAGTTGTGGGGTTCTGAATCTAACATTTGCCACCTCCAGGGGTGCTGTCAGGTGACCCGGACACAGATGGAACCTGTCTTGTTCACTGCTGGACGCCAGCAGCCAGCGCAGTGCCTGGCACACAGCAGACGCCCCTTCAGTGTCTGCTGGGTGCACGGAGGCGATGTCTGAGCCGTGTCTGTGGCGATGAGGGGTGTCGGGTGGAGAGGGCAGCGGGCAGAGGAGCAGGGGCTGCGGGAGGGAGGACTGGAGGGCAGTTGGGTGTGGTTGGGGTGGGAGAGGGAGGGGCGAGGCTGGAGGGACTGGGGGGGATCTCGCAGGGCCTTGTAGGCGGGTGAGGAGCTGGCCTGTGTTCTCAGGGCAGCGGGGACCTGGTGAGGTTGACCCGGGGGCGTATTGTGGAGAGATCTGTGTTTCAGAAGGACCCCTGAGCTGTGACGTGGGAAGGGATCGCTGGGGTGAGCCGGTGGCCAGGGGCTGGTGAAGAGGCGGCTTTGGGACCCAGCTGGGGTGGCCTCTGGATTTTGGGGCCCACCAAGCAGAATAGCATCCCTGCCAGTGCCCAAGGCCCTACAGCATAGGGCCTAAGCCCGGCCATGGACACCTGGGATGGCCAGAGCAGGCTGGGGTGGCGAGGCTGGCCCCCGGAGAGGCTGGGGCTGCAGTCCTGCTGGCATCCCCACTGTGCAGGGGGCTGAAATGACGATGGCCCCGGATCCCCATGACCCGGGGAAACTAGGTGGTCTCTGCTGAGGCGGGTGGCGTGCAGAGCCGGGGCCCTAGCTGGGTGGGGACCGAAAGCCCTGACGCTCCATCTGTGGGATGGCTCAGGCATGGCGAGAGGGTCTGCTGAGTCAGTCAGTTCACCCAGCGCTCACTGACATCTGCCCTAGCATCACGGAGGACAGAGGAGCAGAGCTGGTCTGCCCTGAGGAGCTCCAGGGGGTGCGGCACACAGGCACCACCCATGGGTGCAGTTTTAGTACAAAATGCTGGGGAAACCTTAGGGGCCTTCAGTGTGGGAACTGGGGGGCGGCCAGGCCAGAGAAGGGGGCACTGCGGAAGCTTGGGCTTTTGAAGGCGAGAAAGGCTAGCTAGGGGACTAGGGAGACCATGGAACCATGTCGCAGAGACCTTGCCTGGGTGGGACAAGGGTTGATTCTGGCTTTGCCACTTGGGTGCTGTGTGACCTTGGGAAAGTCACTTCACCTCTCTGAGCCTCATGTGGTCTAGATAGTCAGTACTGCTCTGGGCTGGAGACAGAGGTCACCTCACCCTCTGACAGGCTCTGGCAGGTCTGGCTGGGCTGGAGCAGCGCAAAGCCAGCCCTCATGTCATGGAGAAGCCTGAGTGGTGCGCCGGTCTGAGCCCTGTCTGCCGTCAACTAGGTGTGTGGCTTTGGGCAATCCCCTCTCTGGGCCTCAGTGCCTCACCTGTGAAGGAGGAGTGGAGGAGATGCTCCCTTCCAGCCCTTCCACACTTGCCCACACCCTGACCTCAGGCACACTGGGCCTGATGACTGAGCAGCCCACAGACGCCCTTCCATGCTGCCACATTTCTGGCCTCTTGGGCGAACAGAGTCCCTGGGGTCCTCTGCCCTTTGTCCCCATCACCCCTCTGGCCTCCACCTTCATGGCGTGTGAGAGCCTGGGGTTGGGGGCAACGGTGGGGCTGGCTCAGGATGGGAGGAAGCGGTCTGGATCCTGGGCAGAGCTGGGCCTGGTCCTCGCCTGTCTGGGGAGAGCCCTTGGCTGGAGTGTGCAGAAGCCACTTACGGGAGGGGGTGGGGCTAAATTCAGCCGCCTCTCTCAGGAGGGACTGCCCAACGCTGGGAGCGGCTCAGAACAATCGTGCTCCCCAGGCCCCATGGCCAGAGGCTGCCGAGGCTGGGCTGAGGGCTGGAGGTGACTCAGGCCTCAGCCCGAGCTGGCTGCCTGACTGCTGGGCTGCCTTCTAGAACCGAGATCTGATGACTGTAGCGTGAGCAGCTTCAAAGGCATCAGCTTCTGGGGATTTCAGATTCCAAACTTCTGTGACTGAGTCTAAGGGTTCAAAGTTCAGATTCACAGCTCAGAGACACGAAAATTCCAAGCTTCTGTGATTCATAGACTGTCAAGTTCTGTGTTTCAAAGAGGACATGGTCTGAGTTTGGTGGCTGTGCTGTGTGTTTGGGAGGTGGAGGACCCGGGATGCTGGGTCCTGGGATGCTGCACTGGGATGCTGGGTCCCGGGATGCTGGGTCCTGGGATGCTGGGTCCTGGGATGCTGCGCTGGGATGCTGGGTCCCGGGATGCTGGGTCCTGGGATGCTGCAGCGGGATGCTGGGTCCCGGGATGCTGGGTCCCGGGATGCTGGGTCCTGGGATGGTGTGGTGCTAAGATGACATAGCCTGAGTCAGGTCAGCGGGAGGGGCCAAGGCAGGTTGCTGCCAACACAGGCCGTGGGTGACTCTGGTGTCTCCAGGGGCCCCTGGAGCAGAGGCTTGACTGTGGGGCACTCCGGCTGGGCTTTAGGGGCTTGGGGAGTGTGTGTGGGTGTCTTTGAGCAGGTGCTGAGGGCGCTACGATTCTTCCCTGGCCAGAAACTGCCCTCGCTCCCATCCTCTCTGGGGGGCAGCCCAGGGAGCGGGCAGCGCTCACCCAGTGCTCCTCAGCGGGAGCCTGTTGGCGTGTTGGATGTGACAGTATTCTGCGGTCCAGGCTGTCGTGTACATTACAGGGTGTTTGGTGTCCCTGGTCATTAAATATGGGTAGTTAGTGTCCCTCAAACAGTGTGACGACCATAAATGACCCTTTACGTTTCCAGACTCTGCAGGATTCTTCTCCTCTTCAAGAACCCAAAGGAATGGCGGCCGTGTATGCATCACGGTGGGCTCGTGGGAGCAGCTGTGGTGCCCCACGGCCCCAGAGGGGGCAGGGCCGGGCCGTGGGGGAGGGTCTGGTTTGGGGGGGCCCTGGCTCGGAGCCAGCTACCCTTTGAGGTCGGTGCTTCCTGACTCAGCTCCTCTCCTAGCCCAGATCTAGGCCCTGAGTCACTGCCTGAGTCACTGAAGAGGCTGCTGGGACCCTTCCTGAGCCCAGAGCCGGGGCGGGAAAGGTCCGCTCCCCCAAATGTCAGACCACTCTCTGTCTCTCCTGGGCCTTGAGCCTGCGCTGTCAGCGGGGTGTCAGCCGGGAGGTCTCTGGGTCTGAAATATCAGGGGATCGGTCGTGCTGTTTGACTCACGTGGTGTGTGGCACGTGGAAAGGGCTGGGGAAATGAGTCAGACAGGCCCAGGGGCTGGTTCTGCCTCTTGTTTGCTGTGTGATCATGGGCCAGTTTCTTAAGCATACTGAGCCCCGGTTTCCCCGCCTGTCAGGTGGGGGTGGCAATTCTCCCTCCCCAGGCTTGCGCTGGAGCCCAAAGCAGTGCAGAAGGCACATGTGAGAAGGGAGCTCTGTGGGCTAGAAAAACCGCCGCCCAGGCGGTCATCACTCTTATTACCTGTGCCCAGAAGGTGCAGGCGGCCCTCATGTGGGGCCGAGTAAACACTCTGCTCGTGATAGATTCAATAAGATGTTGGGCATCACGTCTTCAGATAGAGCCTAATGCCTTCAGAGGACATTGGTTCCAAGGAAAATCAGATTCAATCTCTGTTATTTAGATAAATTTGTGCCAGTTATGCTGTGGGTGGCCATGCCCTCACCTGGAGACATTACTAATCAATCATGGCATCCTCCAGCAGGGCACCCCTGGCAGCATGACAGATCAGCTGGAAAGCTGTTTTCCACCCAGATTGGACATGGAGAGCCTTTCTCAGCAGCATAACTGGCTCATGTGGGAGAGGGGCCAGTGGTGGGCTGTACTCACTCTGGCTCTGCTCCCTGAGCCTGAGCTTTCTCATCTCTATAATGGGACTATTCAAGATGATTAGAGATGATTCCAGTAAAGCACCTGTGAGGTGCTCAGGGATGATAATAATGAGCCAGCACTTACTGTGCTGATGGCTTTGCCTGCATTATCACTAAGTGCTTGTCGGAAGTTAGGTGCTGTCATAGCCCCATTTTACACGTGAGGAAGGTAAAGCTCAGAGAGGTTGAGTAACTTTTATCTGGTTGCACAGCCAGGATGTGGTAAAGCTGGGATGCAAACCTCGATTTCTCTGAATCGCCAGCCTCAGCTTTTATCCAGGACATGGCTGCCGCCCGCGGAGCCTGGAGAAGCACCTGATTCTCCACGTTCCCCCCGCTCCCGGGGC